ATAAAACCGCACAGAAAATCCCAGCTTTACGATAACCCTAGCAAGCACTCAGTATACAACCTATATAAACGACTCTCTCCCTTCTTTCACAGCCTTTGGAGAGTGGAATAGAAGAAGAAACGAAAATGGTGTCGGGTTCGGGGATCTGCGCGAAGCGTGTGGTGGTGGATGCGAGGCACCACATGCTTGGCCGGCTGGCTTCAATCGTCGCTAAGGAGCTCTTGAACGGGCAGAAGGTCGTCGTGGTGAGGTGCGAGGAGATATGCATGTCAGGAGGGCTTGTGCGCCAGAAGATGAAGTACTTGAGGTTCCTCCGCAAGCGAATGAACACCAAGCCCTCTCATGGCCCTATTCACTTCCGCTCCCCCGCCAAGATCTTCTGGCGCACCGTCCGCGGGTTCGTCTTTTTATATCCTTAAATTTCCGCTTTACCTATTTAGACATTTTGCTTGATGTTGAAGTGCAAAAATGTATTGTGTTTATAGTCTGTTTGGTTGATTGACAACTGTGGGCTAGGTAAGAAATTGATTGGAACATTTTGACCTATTGGGGAAGTATGTTTCGGTTAGTGCTTGAATGATTATCACATAGGAAATCGGGTTTGATTGGTTTTTTGGATTTTTGTTTGTTTCTTCAATTACAAGTATCGTTTTTTGGTACATTGCCTTTATTTTATTGATTGAGTACCAATGTGACAAATCTGTGTTTCATAAAACTTCAATTGATCTGAGTTTAAGATGTTCTATAAACTTGTGAGTTGAGCGTGGGAGTGTGATAGCTATCAGTTGATGGGGGAAACACTAGTCCAGAAGTCAACTTAATTTTAGCAAGGGAATTTTGTCTCTGATAGATCTCTCTTTCGTTATTTGCTATAGAATGATCCCACACAAGACAAAGCGTGGAGCTGCTGCTCTTGCACGATTGAAGTCCTACGAGGGTATTCCTCCTCCATATGACAAGATGAAGAGGATGGTCATCCCTGATGCTCTCAAGTGGGTTTTCCTGTCCCTGGCCTCTTTTCTACATTGGTTTTTTTTTTCTTATTTTTATTTGTTTAAGGAATTTTTTACTCTGTAATTTAGGGTATTGAGGCTTCAGAAGGGACACAAGTACTGCTTGTTGGGTCGCCTCTCATCTGAGGTTGGTTGGAACCACTATGACACCATCAGGGTGAGTTGCAGTCATTTTCTCTGTTTTCCATGCTTAACTTTCTGTGCAATTTGGTTCCATGAAGGTTTTTGTTCTACAGTTTGATTCTGTCCATTCCTGTTCTTTGTATCGGAGCATCTTCTCCATTTTTTTAATTCTGTTTTACTAGAATTAAAAAGTCATTTTTTATCATCTTTACGGTTCTGCATAGGTTACCATGATTCTTGTTAAGTCCGATTGAAGTCCCTTCGATAGAACCATTCATATGTTATGTAGTGCAGCTTTATGACCAATGATCATCTCTTTTCAAAGACTTCTAAAAATGCTTTGCAAATTGTGTGCCTCTCCCATTTATTGCTTCTCACTGGTGAACTCTCTTAACCTGAAAGTAGATGATGTTCATCCTTCCGAAGCATAAATAAATATGGCCAGTATTAAACAACCCCTGCAACTCTTTGTTTTTGTACAGTGCTACCAGTCTTCTGGTACATCAATTTCTTTGTTTCCTTAATAATCTGTTTGTAGGATGGCTAATGGTTTTTCTGTCCTCACTAACAGTAAAATGGGTGTTTAAGAGGCACAGCATGCTGAGTTTCTACTAACTATGTTAGGCTGTTGAAGGAAGTGTCTAGCTGTAGTTTGATAAAGACAAATGGGATATCTCTAATGTCATGTCAGAGTATTGGCTCTAGCAACGAAATGAAGTTTCTTGAGTTTATTTTATGCGTAGACTTAGATTACTTTTCTTAGGGTTTTATGTGATCTTATCCAAGTATGCTTAATAGTAAACAAGATTGCATACAGCATAGCTTGTAATTCTTTTTGTAATTTATGTCTTCCATTTACTGTGTTGTGTGCAGGAGCTTGAAAAGAAGAGAAAGGAGAGGTCTCAAGTGGTTTATGAGAGGAAGAAACAGTTGAACAAACTTAGGCTGAAGGCTGAGAAAGCTGCAGAGGAGAAGCTTGGCTCACAGTTGGACATTCTTGCAGCTGTTAAATATTGATGTGGTTTTTTATCAGTAGGTTGCAGCTTACAATTTTGAGTATTGTGTTTGACGAAAGTTGTTATTTCCATTGTAGACCATAAAGTTGAAAAATTTTTCAAGACACAATTTGTTATCTGGTTTTGTTAAATTTAAGATATATTGTATTGCTGCCAGCAGTATTTTCTCACTCTCAAGATTCTGTTGTGTAGCAGGATGGTTCTCTAGAATTACGATTTGATATTAGTGATTGCTTTTATTATATTTTCTTGAACAATAGTGTTTGTTATTCATATAAATTCTAGATGGGTTAAAAGAAGATAGGTAGTGTAACTTTTTAAATTTTGCTGTATAATAAAAAAGGAGAAGGAATTTCAGAGTTCTTTGGTAGATTTTTAGACTTTTGACTTTTAAATTCTGGAAAATCCACTTCTAAATTTTGGAAATCTCAGGTTCTGTTAGTTGTAGAGAATCATTTTCAGTTTTCACCTTTTAAATACATACATCTCTATATACAAAACAATAAAAATACATAGTTGTTCAAATTCAATCCATTCACTTGATCACTTGTTTAAACATCTAGACCAAGCCCATTTTGGCCTACATATCCAATTCTCACAAGCCCAAGCCCAAGCCCAAGCCCAAGCCCATTTCTTCGTATAAACAAACAATTTTTTTTTTTTTTAATTCAATTATCGGTTCGTTTTGGACAGAGTCGTTAGTACTGAAGGGCAATTAAGAATAGCAGCCCAGCATCAGAGAATATTGAGCAAAAAATATTTCGTCGACAGCAGGGTTCGAACCTGCGCGGGCGAAGCCCAACAGATTTCAAGTCTGTCTCCTTAACCACTCGGACATATCGACCTTTGTTGATAATCCGACAAGTTTCAGTAAGAGGCCATACAGCGGCCCTCAAATGGCTCGTCACGAGAACGAATTTAAACAGAAGATTCATGAATCATCTGAGATAGCCACGACTTCGACTTCATCGAGTTATGCTTTTTATATAGCTTTATCTGGTACTTCCATAATCTCATCAATCTTTTTTTTTTTTTTTTTTTTTTTTTTCCTTCTGAACAAGGTCATTGCCGGTCGAGCTCTCGAAATCGACTGCTCATTCTGTTTTGGCTTTCGAGATAGGGGCTGAGCTTTCTGGTGCAGGTGCTTGCTTAGTTCCGTTCTTTAATGGGCTGATGAGACTCTCGTTCCTGTCTTTTGCTTGAATTTGA